TTTCTGCCATGACTTTAATAAAAAAAAAAAAAAAAAAAATATATATTTATAATAATTTCGATCATCTGTGAATAGTTCCTGAAAGTTTCATTAACATCCGACAATTATTTATATTTTTTCAAGATTTTCCAAATTAATGTGTGCCATACCAAAAAAACGTGCTAAAAATTGTCTGTTATTTACTAGTTCCGCTGATACAAAGAGAAACAAGGTTTTTTTAATCAAAATTTAGAATGTTCTAAAAAGGAAAATTTTAAAAAATAATTTAAAAAACTTTGGTCTTTCCTCTTAATAATAACAAGCATTTAGACGATAAAATTTTGTTTTAGGCAAGGTTGGCATCTTTTTCATCAAGCTATGCTCTTTTTTTAGCGATTTCATGGAGGTATCTATGTTTATATAATTCATTCATTAAACCTACAGATTAATTTGAAATAAAATATGTTTATAAATTAAATTTTAAAAGCACAAATGAGACCTATTTTAAGATAATAGGAACAAAAATAAGTACTTTTTTATTGTTACCATTTAAGAGGGATTATCTTAATGAGAAAGAAAATTTAATTTTAAATGTTTTATATGTGTGTGTGTGTGTGTGTGTGTGTGTGTGTGTGATAATAGACATTCCAGTGGATTTCAACGCATGAGCATCAGACAATCCCAATCAGTTTTTATGTTTGCGTCGTACATTACACTTCAGTCCCACAAGTGACCTGCATATAAATCCACAGTGTGCAACAGCAAGAATCTCAGGGCATAGCCACAGGAATTCACCATTGTCTTTCATCTCTTAGCTGGTCAATATGACTGATTTTGAAATTTCTGATACCATCCTGAACAAATATCTCCAGTTATTTCTATCCAGGACAACTCACCCAGACTTAGTATGAAGCACACTGACAACTGAGATTATATATCTCATACATACATATACTTACAAGAGCAGAGCTACCCAGCATTTCCTGGGATTTAAAGACTTATAAATAAATCTATAATATAACTTCAAATTCATTTATTCAAACACAAAAAATATCTTTAAACAGTTTTTACATTACAATACTTCTCAGTAGACAATATTCTTTGTCTTTTCCTTGTGAAGCATAAACAAATTGGTTTTACTTCCCACACATGAACAACAAACATACAACTGCATATGAGAGAAACAGGATTCTCCTAACTGTAGTCTAGTAACTGATAGAATCTGGCTTTGTGCTTTGTTAATAGACAGTGTTATATAGGAACAAAATGTCACTGCCAACACTGGATTTTGAACACAGATCACCAGAGTGTAAACACAGGTGATCCCATTTTGTACAAGTAGATCACATGATGGTAAAGAAAATGTATATATGGGAATTAGCATGGCATCTAAGTGATTACTATATGGGTCACTATTCAAGCAAGTATTATCGAGCCAGTACTATTAGTGAAAGTGCTATTCAAAGGCATCTGACACCAGCATTGTTCAATGGCATTACTATAGTTGGATCTGTGATTACAGAGTCTCTACTACAACGAGCATTATGAAAGTGACAGCAAGTATTCGTTGACATTACAAAAGTGGCAACAAGTGTTTGTTGACATCACAAAACATAGCAAAACTTACTTGTATTGGAAACTGAAATCTCGTAAACATAAATGGAATACACAACCCTGATGGAATAAGGGGAATCCTGAGGCATTTTTGTCTTTTCCATACCCAGTAAGAACCTATGCCTAAATTACATGTGGTATCAATTTCTTAACCACCAATCTGTTGCCATTACAAAGTTTTGGTGGGTCCGGATTCAGTAATAACATTATGGGCAACCCCATCTTGAGCTCCAGTATATTTGAAGATAGTCCAGGAGGTTCTAGAGAATTCAGAAATTCTATTGGATAATTGATCACCTGTTCCAGATCTGGAATGGTATCCACTGAACTGTAAATGAGATGTTTCTGGAAGGGATTGCAGTAATTGGTTATTGATTCTGTCAAATGCTTTGTTATTTGAAGCCAGTATTGTCTTGTCACATAACCAATTATAGTTTTTGTAATTATATATTGGAGGTTTAGGAAAAGTCCTGGCCTTAAGCTAATCAGCAGCACAGACTGGGCTAATGGTCATCTCTCCATTGGCATTTAAAGGTGCACTGCCATTGCCAAGTCTCAAAATGTTGCAGGAGAACCGAGCTGACAGCTGATCTCCAAATAATTGTGCTCTCATGTTAGTGCTCAGAGCCAACGTTCAAATATGTCACCACAACAGAGAAGATTTGTGACATGCTCTGATTTCATCAGTCCTGGTCCCTTCTGGTATGACCAGCAGTGTTTACCTAAAGTCTCCAGATAACAGGAGTGTTATACCTCCTATAGGTGACTGACAATTCCTAATGTCTCATGGTTTGGTCCAATGCTTCCAGTGTTGTCTTGTGTGCCATGGTACATTCATCCCATATGATGACCCTGCACCTTTTTAGCACTTTTGCTAATTCAGAAGTTTTGCTGATACCTCAAATTGGATTATCAGATGAAATCCAATAGAAGCTTAAAAGTTGAACATGCAGTTTGGCCACCAGGAAGCAAAGTTGCAGCAATACCAGAGGATGCCACTGCCAAAGCTATGTTCTTATGTTGTTGAACTTTGGCTAAAGGTAGGTTAATAACAAATGTCTTTCCTGTCCCTCCAGGAGCATCTCGGAAGAATAATCAACCTTTGGAGAAGCGGGCACTGTCATAAGGTCTCCTTTGGTCCCAAAGCAACCTTTGCTCATTTTTATTAACATATGAACACAGGGCATTGATATCATAGGATGTTTCTCTTAACACCGCTGTGGGTAAGGCATCAATCCCAGTCCAATGAGTTTTGGGCAACCCATGTCAGTAATACATTTCCACCAATAGAAACAACAGTTTTTTTTTACACTGATTAACGACCCATTGAAGTTGGGCTTGGTGCTTAAACTCTTCAGATAAGCTGTCCCTATACTTATGTTACAGAGTCAGGATCACTTATTTCACATTTGCACTAGGACTACAAAAAGTGACCTAAGATTCCCAGGGGATTGTGATGCAATAGCCTCAGCCCTTGTCGCATTCCACTGGGCATCATCTTCAAGCAAACCTCAACTCAAGCATGCTTCTCAGTAGGTCATACAAACTAATAGTTTATATTTTTAAGATCCTGGAACAATGTTGGGCCTCAAACTTTGTGAAGGAGAAGTCAAAGATAAAAGCATTCATGTTGGCTTGGATGTACAGTGTACACTACCTAGGCACTCATCAAAATTAATGCCAGTGTGCTCCAATGCATCTTGACCTATCAATCTACACACCCATTCCTTTTTGCCTTTCCACAAGTAATAAGATGGCACTTGGGAGTACAAAAGTGTGTGGGCAAAAAGGATCATTTTGACACAGCTTGAAGAAAGCTGCAAGTGTAGTATAATTGGTGGGGTGGGGATGTGCTACTTGAACAGCATTTGCTTCAGTGGCAGACATGTTGACTGTTTTCCAAAAATACTGCAAGTTGCACAATAACCAGGTGTCTTTCATGTAGTGGGAAGCTAAACATGCACCAAAATGCCTCATTACTACTGACGTATTTGCCCATTTGATAGTAGATTACCTCATCTCAGCTATTTTCCTGCTGCAAGCCAAATGCGGCTGCATCTAATCCCTCATTGATGCACTTGCAAGCATACTTGATGGATTTCAAGAGTTGTGTAACTCAACATTAATGTGGGCATTAAATGTCTTTGACAACAAAGGACAACAGTTGTCAAGCTCATGTTGTCCAACCTTTGCTGAAAACCTGCTATCATGTGGGCTTCTACATATGTAAAAAGAGTATCTATCATTACCAGTTTGTGTTTCCATAAGAAATCTCTTGGGGGAAACTTCTTTAAGCATACATTGTTCTTCAGGCATGGTGAGTTGAGGTTATAGCCCCTTCCACATGGGCTATGTACCGTGTTCATTTTAACAATTTCATAGAACTCCTTGTTTATTGATGGATTTGGAAACTCTGCTGAAATTATCCTGTCAATTTCATTGGCACTTATTCAGTTTGTTCCTGTAAAAACAGCATTTTCATTGATCCCAAGAAAATTTCACATTTGAACTCAAAAATTTTCATTGGTCCAAAGGAAATTTCACATGGGCTTGCAAATTTGTTTATGTCTTTTTCCTCAGCTCAATGAATTTGAAAGGAGTGGGTAAAGGAGTTATTTTGTCCTCACATTTAGCTTAAAAATGTTAAAAAGGCCTGTTCATACACTACATATCCAGAAACAGTGCAAAATTCTTTTTTAAATACTCATCATTTGCAGATTGTAATAAGCTTTTAGATTTATGATTAGTAAAAATAGTTTTACTTAATAACAGTACATTGAAACTGAATTTTAAGATTTAACAACTTCATAAATTATTATAATTGTTAAAAAAAAAAAAAAAAAAAAAAAAATAATAATAATGAAATCATTTTTCATCGGAGATTTCTTTTTTTTGGCTTCAGACAATATCATCCTTAACATATTATTCATAAAAGCAATTAAAAGCTTTTTTTTTAATTCAATAATGTCTTGGTTTTATTGGTATTTTATAATTCAGAGCTGATTTACAGTAACTGGTTGTTCGATTTTAGGTTGGTTGTTTTTATTATTCTTGTTTGTTTTTTTTAAATTATCCTTTAATTTTCTATATTTTTTGATTATTGTTTTAATTTTTTTTTTTTTACATCATTTACTGTTCTCCAATTTTTCTTTATAAAAAGACATGCACTTGGTTATTGTACAAACATACATACAGCCTAAGTTTATCTATTGATTCAACAAATAACATTTAATGCATTGGTTCAACAATGTATAAAAAGTTCTGCCTTAAAATCCAAGTTTTTTTGTGTTTTTTTTTTTTCAATCCCCTTTCAGAAAAGGAGTATTGTCAGTTACCTTTAAGCTTTCAAATTTAAAAAAAAAAAAAAAAAAAAAATTGCACGTATCATAAAACTAAAAACCACAAACCTTCATTTCTATACTGAGTTGCTTGTCCAATGAAGCCAACTTCTGATCAGTTGGGCTTTGTTCCTGGCCATCTTTCTCAGGTGACATTAGGTAATCTAAAGAGATAAAAAAAAAAAAAAAAAAAACAACATTAATCAGCAAGGGAAAGTTAATTGCAGAATAAGCACAATTTCCCTTCAAAGACGAGAGAGTAGTAATGTTTTGTCTTTTGTTTTTTGATGAAACTTTTTCTTTTAAATAATGCTAAAGTATATTTTTTTGACAAAAAGATTAAGAGAAAAAAAGTTAAATCTCAATTTGTCCATTGAGCAAATTTTTAGCCTTTTCTAACTCATTCCAAAGACTGAAAGGATTTAAAACAATTAACATCATTACATAAGATGTTATGTAATGCAAAAATGTCCTATCCATCTTCACAAATCTTTGTACCTGTCAAACAAACTAGCATTCTACTCAGCTTTCATTGTGAATTGACAAATGATCACAACAGCTTGACATATTACAGATTTTCTCACGCACAGTCAGGATTATTCATGTTTAAAACTGATTACATCTGTTCACTTTATTGCATTCTTGATGATGTCATGTAGATGGAATAAAACATACAAGAAAGTATTTTGAAAATTGTACAAGAACAATTGATATGCATAAAACATGAATTAAAATATAAACTATGAAAAGAGCCTTGTTAAAAAAAAATTATTTTATATTTACTGTAAATATAACATATTTATGGTTAAATGAAATATTCTCATAACACGAACAAGTAACTTTGATTTGAACTCATTTGAACGAGAGAAAGAAAAAAAAGAAGGAGAGAAAGAAAAAAGAGAAAAAGACAAGAGAAAAGAGAAAAAGACAAGAGAAAAAGACAAGAAAAAAAAAGAAAAAAAGAAAAAGGAAAAACGAGGAAAAAAAAAGAAAAAGGAAAAAAAAAAAGAAAAACGAGGGAAAAAAAAAAGAAAAACGAGGGAAAAAAAAAAGAAAAACGAGGGAAAAAAAAAAAAAAAAACGAGGGAAAAAAAAAAAAAAAAAAAAAAAAAAAAAAAAAAAAAAAAAAAAAAAAAAAAAAAAAAGAAAAAGGAAAAAAAAAAGAAAAAGGAAAAAAAAAAGAAAAAGGAAAAAAAAAAGAAAAAGGAAAAAAAGAAAAAGAAAGTTATCCAACTATTAAGTAATTGATGTAGCCTATAGGCTAATATATATCATTACAAATCTGGAGATATAAAATAATCTGAAATTTTATAAAAATTCCTATGCACTTTAAACTTTTGCAGATAAGATCAAAAATCTTAATTAGCAAATCTATAAAATTTATAATCATCCATAAGAGATGCTCAACAAATTTTATGTTCCAAATTATTTTAAAAAAAGAAGATTAATAATCAAATTTTTTTTTTTTAAATTTAACTAATCACAATACTTACTAAATATAGGAAGAAATTGGCATTTATCTGGAAAATAACTGACCTAAGCAAAAAGAAAATATTCAAGGAAGCCTTTTACTTTGTTTTTTATGCAAATTTAATCAGACTCCCACAATTTTCAAAACACCTTAAAAAATTAACATGTGTAAAATGAGGTCTTAACACATCAGGTGACCACATCAGGTGACCAAACATCATTTTACAAAGTTTTCCATAATCAATTCTGATTACTTAAGCTACTTACTGCCATCTGACAAATAGTGTTTACATTGAGAATTAGTTATAAGTGTTTATTTTGCTTGGTACTAAAGTTTGTGTCCATCAACTAAATTTTATGGCATTACCAAAAGATCAGAAACTTTGTGATCTTTCCACTTTATGAGGAATGCAGAAGCAAACAAGGTTCTTACTGTATCAAAACAGAAGGCCTTTAATGAACTTAAAAATGTCACCTCATGGTATTCAAATATAAAAATTCACATTTAAATTGGAGATATTTGGCATATCTATCAAATCAGAGAAGTGCATAGTTTGGCAAGTGTATAGAAGGCAAAAATTTTAGCAAACTTACTTTTTTTTTTTTTTTTTTTTTAAATGTTTAGTAACCAAGAATACTTGTATAAAAAAAGAACTGAAAAAAAGAAGTTTCAACAGTAACAAAAAAATACTAAATATTTGTTTTTATCTGGGTATTTTTACTTTTGCAAAAATTAGTTTATATTTGTTTATTGCATTCAAGACTATCCTTTTTTATCCAGAAAATTATATTTTTACCTTACATTTCCTGAGAATAATTAAAAAGATATGTTGGTGTAAGAACAAAAAGGAGGCTTCAAATATCATTATGAAAATGGTCTTTTAACTGATAAGGTCATTAGTTTTTTGGAGTTTTTTTTTTATAATATTAACCATGTCATTTTAAAAAGATGAATGCAAAAATTGGTTAATTTAAGAGTTAATAACATTTAACAGTCTTTGATTATATTTAAGGCATGCATAGTAAACTATAAATCTTCAACACCCACAAACTGCCTACAATTAATACAAGGATAAAAACTTACATTGATTATTCTATAACAGCTATATAGTGTGTGGGGGATGCCATGATAATTTTTTTTTTTATCAGCCTTGAGAAGCCAGTAATAACTTGGCAGAGAAAGAAAATACTTTTTACAACATTTAAAACATTTTTAATCACCAGTTTATGGATTCTTATCTCAATTCAACCAATTACAATAAAATAGTTTTGTGACATGAATCTTCTAATATAATGCCATATAAATCTTGTATGAATCTGACCAATAATGAACTCTTCCCATATCACTCTTAAAACATTTATACCTCATAATATTGGCACAATTTGACTTCTTTTTAAACTTAATTTTTACAATCATTAAAACTCTTCAGAACTTCAAAGCAAAGAGATTAAGTATATCACAAAATGTTCACACCAATTCTTTGAAATTTTAATATTTTAAGATTTTTGTCATATCTATTTTAAGATATAAACAATATGACTATATATTGGTCCTACAACCTGTTATCACTACTTAATATAATGCTTCATTAGTAATTAGGCAATACTCAAAACCAACAAACATGATTATGATCATCATAACATAATATCTCATTAATAATTAAACCAAGCTGTTGATACATGACTATTTCTTTTGTTTCATGTTAGTTTTTTCATTTTTTTTTTTTTTTACTTTTAATGAATAATCATTAAAAGTAAAAAAAAAAAATTCTTTCTTACACATGACAAAATTGTATGAATAGAAATCCTCAATGACTCTTGCAGATTACAATTGTAAAATTACTTAAATATTGATGTCATTTTATGAATAGTTATAAATAATATTTAGATTTAAAGGAAATTTTCCTGTAATGATTTTTTATCATTATTAATCATTTCACCGCAAGCAAGGCGGGAATGCCACTAGTACACAGGGAGTGAACTTTTTTTCTTTTTAAATTGATTTCACCCCAAGCAAAACAGTAAAGCCACCGAGACACAAGGGGTTACTGGGTGTGGAAGTTAAAAATAAACATTGCTAAGGAGCAAGAATAAAAGAAGAGTAATCAGGAGAACAGTAGATAGTGATTGACATTGCATTTAAATTTTTGCAGATTAAAGTTGCCTGGTTCTCCATTTTTATTCCAAGGAAGTCATTTTTTCTTATATCATCTTATTGTTTAACAGTTTATAAATTACAGAGATTGTTTTTAAAGCACAGTTTTTCAAATCTCTTAAGTTTTGAATGTTTGTACATTGGCTAGAAAGATGCAGATTTGGAATTAGAAAAGGTTTAGAGAAAGGAAAGGAGAAAGTGACAAATAAAGAAACAGTAATTAACCATTCAAAATATACAACATTTCAATTAACACTTCTTCACTAGATATAACTTGATCTTTCAACAAACAAGTCAAAAAAAAAAAAAAAAAAGTGCTTCTGTTAGGAGGGAGAAAAAAAAAGGAAAATGACATTTTGTTTTCTGATCCATTACATCAGTGCAGATGAAATTATCCACATGTTTCATGCTATCAAGTGATGTTATTTGAAATCAGAATCTTGGTCAACACAAGATTAAATCTTATCTAGAGAAACCAAATACATAAAAAAAAAAAAAAAGAAAGGAAATCATTTATAAAATTTAATACTTGATTCTCATAAACAACCAGCTTCATTCTTCCACAAAATGCGCATCAGAACCAGAACTTCATATAGACAAAAATAAAATCATCAAAACAGAACAAAGAAAAGCTTATAAACAAATTGGTGTAAATATTATAAATGGGGTTTTCAGGATATGTTTGTTTTGATATGGAAAGAATGAACATAAAAATTCACATAGTTCTTAGAAAATGTAACACTAAATGTAAAAATACACTGACCTCTCATTAAAACTTAACTTTCCTTGAAAATTAAAGAACCAAACACAAAAATAAGTTGTGTTAATTATACAAAAAGTAATGGGACAAAATGTATGACAAAGTGGAAAAAGTTTTCTTGTGACAAATTTCATACTTTAGGACTTCAAATTAAATTTGTATTTTTGGTGTGACAAACAAACAAGGGATGTTGGGAATTTAAAAATTTTTATCTAGCAGATTTCATTTAGATATTTTTTTTCTTTTCATTACTTTTGTTAGTAGATATCCCACACTGTGATAATAGTTCTACCAGGAATGGTGAAATGTTGTAGGAGCCTGGGCACAAAAAGTAATAAAAATTTGAGTTGTTTACATTTCAACACTATCTTAATCTGACATTAATGTGTGGAATAATGTATTATTCCATCTACGACATTTTACGCGCGCGCGAGTTGCCTCCCTTTCTCCGACACTCATGTGTGTATTATTGCGCGTTTTGACACCCCCTTTCTCCCTCGTTCGGTCTAATACAGTAGTAACTGCTTTGGGCACCAACCAAGCGACTTGCTACTACTGTTTATGCAAATTAGATTTTTGAAATCTTGCCGCGAAAAATTTGTGACGTCAACGACAAACTGTTGTTTCAAAAAAGTCAGTTGGTGTTCCAGACTCGGACCTAAGCAGACTCATTTTTATCCATGTCAATAT